AAGGAGCCCAACGCGAACCCACACCCATTGAGTTTTGCAGTCTTCGTGGGGAATAGACCCATGACAGAGGCAGACTCGATCATTCGAGATCCAAATGTGGCAGTCAAGTTTGCTCGACAGATTTTTCCACCCGAGGTCCAGCAGTCGATGGTAGGTTGGCAGGACTTCGAAGTGTTTCGTGAAGGCATTCACGGTGCGGTGAAGGGGTTCTACACCGCTTACGAAATCGACATGTGTCTCCGTGCTGCCCGCCAAGAAATAGAGAAGAATGATGAACGCATTCGAAGCTTAGAGGCTCGCGGAGAAGCGGCTGAGCGTGAACTAAGGAAGGTCAAGGCTGTTCAGACACAACCCACCGGATAGGCTAACCAAATCGTGGAAGAAAGGGTTACCTAGCAGCTCATCAGTACTGTGCTTGTCGACCGCAATAAAGTGAGCATTTTCCCAATTGAGTCCGCGAACGGGAGGGCCTATGAAAAAGGCTTCCATGAAGGCCGGAAAGTAGGGATACAGAAAACCAAGGAAAAACTTGCCGAGGAAGTTTGCCGATGTGAAAATCGTGGATTTAAGCATGGTTGGATCAAGGCGCTTCAGGCCGAGGAAGCTCTTCGAGCAGCGGGCATCGATTTGGCATTGCCACTCTACCAACGTAACCATTTTCCATTTTCCGCCTTTAAAGTCAAGCAGAGTGAGGGTGAGGGCGACACCGTATAAAAACACATTGTAACGTTCGAACGCAGAGCGCGTTCAAAACTATGTAATTATTGCCTGATTGAATAAAATGTTTTATTGTAATTTTCATTCAGCACTCTCGTGTTTGTATAAATTCTTGAATAAATGTGTAAACATTGAATATTTATTCGGCATACACGTATTTTCATGTTTCATTGTATAAGCATTTCATTCTGAACGTTTACATGCTTCATCAAACATGGTTCCTTATTTGGGGCGGTGTATCAGTTAAAAGTCGTAATGCGCCGACGAGGTTCCGTATAGGGAGACCTTATCGGCTCGAAAGTCGTGATGCGCCAATGAGGCTCCGAATAAAGAGGCCTAACCGACACAAAGGTGTCATGCACCAGAGGGGCTCCGAATTCGGAGACATGCATTGGCCAATCGTGATATCCACGAAGGGCGCTCCGAATCCGGAGGTTTTATCGGCCCAAAGAGCTCGTGAACTGAATCGCATGATTAAGAAATAAGAAACTTCGCATTGCAGAAGTGAAATTTTGTACAAATATCAAGTCCCACAAGTCGGGTCAATGATAGAATTTACGTAAATCTGTTGAATTCTAAGGCTGTGGGAGATTCCTTCCTGACATATCTTTCAGCTGGTACGCCCTCACTCCCGCAATAGAATCAATCTGGTAGGGGCTGTCCCAGTTTGGACCCAGTTTTCCATCGGCCGGTTTCCTATCGACTGGAAGCACCTTCTTTAGGACCAACTGTCCTGGTGTGTAGCGGCGCAGCTGAATGCGTTGATTATACGACTTTGCCAGCTGCTGCTGGTACCGTGCCATGGACGCAAGGGCTCGGTCTCTTCGTTCTTCGATTAAAATCAAATCCAAAGCCAGCATCATGTCGTTTCGGCCCGTATCAAAAACTTGCGACTTGAGGGTCGGGTGGCCGATCTCTAGGGGTAAGATCGCCTGGGTTCCGAAGCATAGGGCAAACGGCGTTTCTCTAGTTGATCTTATCGGCGTAGTTCGATGGGCCCACAATACACTCGGCAATTCTTCGACCCATTTGCCTTTGGCTTTCTCCAGCCTCTTCTTAATGCCGTCCAAGATGGATTTGTTAGAGGCTTCGGCTTGACCATTGCTTTGGGGGTAAGCCGGCGTAGAGAAGTAAGGCCGGATACCATACTTACTACACAGCTCTTGGTACACGCCACAATCAAACTGGGTGTCGTTGTCTGAGATAAGAGCTCTTGGAATACCGAATCGTGTTATGATGTTCCTCCATACAAAGCGCTTAACATCAGCATCCCGAATGTGTGTTAATGCCTCCGCTTCAACCCATTTCGTGAAGTAGTCTGTTGCAACGATCAGGTATCGCTTGTTTCCTGGGGCCCTTGGCAATGGTCCTACAATATCGAGCCCCCACTGGGCGAACGGCCAGGGACTGGTGATAGAGTTCAACTCTTCAGCAGGCAAATGGTTTAACGGGGAGAACTTCTGGCACTGTTCACACTTTTTTGCGTAACATTCGGCGTCCGCTCTCATTGTCGGCCAATAATACCCCTGCGTTATAGCTCGATGGGCCAAAGAGCGTCCGCCAGAATGGGCACCACAACTGCCTTCGTGTATCTCGGTCAGAAGCTCCTCGACTTTGTCCAGGTGCACACATTTCAAATATGGGCCAGAGAGGGATTTTTTATAAAGCCTTCCTTGCGGATCCAAGTAATATTGCATAGCTTTGTTTTGCAGCTTGTGCGCTTCTTTCTTGTCCTCTGGGAGTTGTTCGGAAGATAGGAATGCAACAATAGGTTCCATCCAACTTGGTGCAGATTCTATAACGTTGACCTGGACTTCCTCCGAAGGGCCAATGCTTGGCTCCGGGATTAAACCTACTTCGATGGTTTATTTAATCTCTGAGTTGATTGCGGAGGCTGGGCAAGCCAAGGCATCTACATGGGTGTTCTGATCACGTGTTATTTGGTTCAACTCATGATGGTCAAATTTTGCCAACAGGAATTGGTCATTTTCATGTAGGCCGCCATACGGTCGTTTCTTGCTGCGTACTCCCCCTTTAGCTGATTGATCACCAGTTTTGAGTCGCAAAACACAAGCAAACGCCGAGCACACAGGATATGCGCATTCCGCAAACCGGCCAAAAGGGCTTCGTATTCGGCTTCGTTATTTGATGCTTTGAAGCTAAGCTTGACGGCCTGCTCAATTATTGCGCCGTCGGGGGCCATGATTACAACTCTGGCTCCACTACCTCGCTGGTTGGACGATCCATCACAATACAACTGCCAAATGTTCCCAACATAAATCCTCCAGTTAAGCTTTGGTCGAATTTCATTAGACTTGAAGTCAGCAAGGCCCCTAGTGAATTCAACGACAAAGTCGGAAAACACTTGTCCCTTGATTGAGGTTCTGGGTAGAAACTGAATATCATACTGGCTGAGTTTCAGAGCCCACTTTGAAACATGTCTAGATGCTTCCGCACTGCGTAGTATTGATCGGAGGGGATAATCTGTTAGCACCCCAATGCTATGCCCCTGGAAGTAATGCATCAGTTTTCTTGCCGCAATGACTAGGGCTAAGATGAGCTTTTCCAGTGGAAGGTAGCGTGTTTCGGCGTCAACCATTGTCTTGCTCACATAATACACTGGCCGCTGCTCCCCCAGCTCTTCCTTTATCAGTACGGCGCTGACGGCTCGGTCAGAAACTGCCAGATACAAAATGAGCGGGTCGCCAACGGAGGGTGTTGTCAGGAGTGGTACGGAGCGGAGGTAGGTCTTCAGGCCGTTGAAAGCGGCTTCGCATTCGGCGGACCATTCAAAAGCCTTGCCTTGCCGTAGTGTATGAAAGAATTACCAACAGCGATCTGTGGACCGGCTGATGAACCTGTTGAGTGCAGCGGCCATCCCCATCAACTTTTGAACCTCTTTTACTGAACGAGGGGAGCCGAGCTCCAGGATTGCTGTGATTTGCCTTGGGTTGGCTTCGATTCCTCTGTGGTTGACAATGTAACCCAAGAATTTGCCAGAGCCGATACCAAACGCACATTTGGAAGCGTTTAACTTCATTCCATATTTACGTAGGATGTCGAATGTCTCTTCCAGATCGGCTATAAGATTCTGCTCTTCCTTGGACTTGACCACCATATCGTCAATGTACACTTCCATAGTCTTGCCGAGTTGCTCCTTGAACATGGTGGTGACTGGTCTCTGGTAGGTTGCCCCTGCATTCTTCAGCCCAAAAGGCACAACCTTATAGCAATAGGTACCTCTTGGGGTGAGGAATGCAGTTTTCTCTTGATCCTCCGGATGCATAGTGATTTGATGATAACCTCTGTAGGCATCAAGGAAGCTCATACGCTGATGACGCGTCGTAGTATCTATAAGTTGGTCTATCCTGGGAAGAGGAAAACAGTCTTTGGGCAGGCTTTGTTTAGATCTGTAAAATCGACGCAGACTCGCCAACTCCTATTTTTATTCTTCTTCACAACCACAGTATTAGAGAGCCATGTGGGGTAAGTCACTTCCCTGATTGCTCCGGCATCAAGCAACCGGTCTACCTCTTCAACGACGGCGGTAGTGTGCTCTGCGGCTGATCGTTGGCTTTTTCTGAATGATCGGCTTGCACTTAGGGTCAACATTTAAAAGGTGCTCCGAAACAAATGGGTCTACGCCCGACATTTCATATGGAGTCCACGCGAATACATCAAGATTGCCGAGCAGGAAGGATACTAGCTGCTGTCAGTCGGCTTGACTCAGGGAGGTGCGGACCATGAAGAACCTCTCTGGATTGCCGTCAATCTCAACTCGGTCTAGGTCTTCCGTGGCTATCTCATTTGGGAGTCGTTTGACATCGTCGAGGCTGTCTCGATCCGGCACCTCAATGGAATTAACTTGCAACTCCTTTGGCGTTTTTCCGGAAAGGAGATAACATGCCTGTGCCGATTGCTGGGAACCACAGATTTGCTCAATGCCATATTCGGTCGGGAAGCGCAGCAGCTGATGATAGGTGCTTGGAACGGCGCGCATTGTATGCAACCAAGTTCGCCCTATGATGAGATTATACGGCGAAGGAAGCTTGACGACTAAGAATTCCACATCCACTGTTCGGGAGCCTGCTCGAACGGGTAGTGTGATTTTCCCCAACGGATACTCTGGATTTGCGTTGAAGCCGAATAGTGGATAAGAAGCCGAAAACAGGTCTGATTCATATAAGCCGAGTTTGATGAAGGTCTTGTAATACATAACCTCCGAAGTACTCCCTTGGTCTATGAGAACGCGCTCAACGGTAAAATGGTTTACGCGTAGTTCAATGACCAGTGGATCAATGTGGGGGACTATTATGTCGATAAGATCAGAATCATCGAAGGTAATACTCGGAGCTTCTCGTGGCCTTTTTGCTGGCGTTAGTTGCTTTTGGGGTACTCGGTGTGACTGAATTGCATGCACGGTTGGAGGCGTCGACAAGCTGTATATCACATGAATGATGCCAGGCGGGGGTGAATCCTGTCGTAATGCAACTGTTTTGGTTGCGCTCTTTCGGACACGTTGCTGGAGCCGACCATCTTGCACCAACTCCTCAAGGTGGTCTTTCAAAGCATAGCAGCTGTCAATGTCTTGTTTCCGAGCTTGAGGTCGTCGACCGCCTGCTTTCAGAGGTCGTTCCGGATCTTGGGGCACGACTTGTTTGGACTTTGCCACCTCCAAGGCCAAATCCTGACAGAGACGCTCGTTCTCAGCGATCGTGTTCTCCAACCTTTGCTCGTTTTGCTTTGCCTGTTCCATGATCGCTTGCATTGCCTCATGCTCTGGAGTCGAAGGTGAGGCGAAGTTCAAAGCGCGTCTTGCTGGGATAATCTCCAGTCCATGCATGTTTGTTGGAGTGAAATCGTCTATCTGCGTGGTTTCATCGGTGACTATTGGAGGGTCCTCCACACGCCCAACATGGATATGCTTGAATATTCCCACAGACGGCGCCAATTGTGGAGAAGTGGTTTGGAAATACTCTTCTGATCTTGGGGGACGCTCGTGATCTGCTGATAGTCACATAAAAAGAAATAAACACTCCGGTCGGGGGTGCCGGAATTAGCACTCCGATGGACAAGTCAGTCTCAACTCTCAAGATTACTTATATTCTAAGTTAAGCACAATAATTCTCACATACATTTCTTAGTGTGTTGTTCCTCTATTTATACTCGTTTCCTGGGCCTCGGGGCCAGGTCCACTTTTCACTCATTATCCTTTTATTTACTCGGCTCTATAGTTCGATATCTACTCGGCTCATCTGTTTTATTCGGCTTTCCTGATCGTGTAGAAAAGAGCCGAGTAATATCTGTCTTCTAGAGTACGCTTCTGATTCTTCCAAATATCCGCCCCCCTCATAGTCCTATCCATAGTTTAAATACACACACAAACAACGCCTACATAAAAATTATCATACATAAATCTACACGTTTTATGTTATTCATACTAGTCATTCACATGCACAATTTGTGTAATTTAAATAAAAATATATATTTATTATTTATATTGTGTAACAATATTAATTTCATTTGTAAAATGTTTTATTTAAACATTACCTAAAAGTATATAAATATATCAACGATAAAATATTTAAATATTTAAACATTTTAACTGGTTAGACTTTTAGACATAAATATTAAGAGGGTTGTTTGGGGTATCCTAAATAAGTGCACTTTTTATTTTTTTGGACTAAAAAGTTGAGGAAAAAATATAGATGTTTGAGTTAATTTTTTGACTTTTTATAGAAAAATGTGTACTAAAAAATTGTAGAAAGAAGTGTGTAGGAGAAGATTAGAGAGGTGTGTTGTACAGCAGTACAATCTGCGCAGGCGAATTGATGGTAAGAATTATTGGCTACTTTTCGGGCATTGAACTGGACGGTTATGTTTGGCCCACATCACGGGTCCCATTTTGATAATATGAACCGTTCAAAGTGTAAAACTCGTCGAGCATTATATGGTTATAAAAAATTACGTTGATCGGATATCGATAGCTATCTGATCAGATTTGTTTTTTTTCAATCGTTAATTATAACACCATCCATTTTTTTTATACAAAGTTGATTTGATCATGTAGTTATCGATATCCGATCAATATATTTTTTTACATATATATAGTATTCGACGAGTTCTACACATTGACGATTTAGATTATCAAAACGGGACCCGTGATGGGCCCCCACGGGCCGAACAACACTGTGTGAAAATTACAACAAAACTGTGCAATTTTTCTTAACAAACGCTGCACAGCGCTAAACATACATGATTGCTGAGTTGTATGGATGTGTGAAAAATTAATTTTTTAATATTTTTTTTATGAATAGTGATAACTTTTTAATTTTTTGAGTAATTTTTTGACTTTTTGTCTTTTTGAAGAGATGCCAAACTTAACCTAAATATTAAAAAAAAAAATCAAATAATTATAACAAAAAAAAACTATTACAAAACCTAAAATTCAAAAATTATATATATACAAAAAGTACATATTTTTATAAAATCATAAACAATAATTTGATCTTGATTTCATTCCAAAACGATCTAAATCAGACCGTGCTCAGCCTATCGCTTCGTCAATCGAACGGTACAGATAATGTTCTCCTCGTCACCGCATCTGGAAATCATCGAATCGGACGCCGGACATGGAGGTAGCACGATACGGTACCATGCACCTGCATTCGTAATAGTCGACCCATCATTTACCTACGCACCAACCGTTCCTTCCGGTCTCCCACTCCTCCACTACAGCTTTTGTTTGTCTGTATACTAAACCCTACAAGTTTCATACTAAACCCTACAAGTTTCATTTTCTCCGCTCCGCACCTCTCTCTCTCTCTCCCTTTATCGCTCACTCTCTCTCTGCAGTCTGTTCCCTCTCCTCTCCTCCCTTCAGATCACGGGTGAGCACTTCTTTCTTCAATTTTATTGTGGCAATCATTTTAATCAGTTTTTGACTGTCGTATTCTAATTGTCTCTCTTTTTTAATTATTTTTTGGGGGATTTGTGGACAGGCAAGATCAAGATCGGAATCAATGGTACTAGATCTAAACTTGGATCCTTTTGTTTATGTTCCTAATATTATTATTATTATTATAGGAGTTTTGTCGTAATCATGAAATGGTGAAAATTAGGCTTTGGAAGGATTGGCCGGTGGTGGCCAGAGGGGCTCTGCAAAGAGACGATGTTGAGCTCGTCGCTGTCAACGATCCCTTCATCGCCACTGATTACATGGTTCTACTTAAAACTCCTTCTTTAATCTCATAATCATGGGTTTCATATCTATGTATTATTTTTAGTACTACTTTGTATTGTAATTAGTCTGTATGTGCTCTGGGTTTAATTTGTACTCAAGTTAATAAGTGGATCTGAAGTTTAAACTGTCCGATCGGAATACAAAACATGATCCTGTTAGGTTATGTTTCCGATCTGTTGAATTTTGGAGTTATTTGCATTTGGGTTAATGCTTTTTGATGCTTTTAATGCTTTTTGATGCTTTCTGTCTCTGTTAAGCTACTAGTAGTAGTAGTAAGGTGTTTGTTTATATTTATTTGTTTTGTTGTTGCAGACTTACATGTTCAAGTAGGGTGTTTGTTTATATTTATTGGTTTTGTTGTTGCAGACTTACATGTTCAAGTATGAGTGTTCACGGTCAATGGAAGCATCATGAACTCAAGGTGAAGGATTCCAAGACCCTTCTCTTTGGTGAGAAAGCAGTAGCTGTTTTTGGCCTCAGGTATAAATTCCCAACTCTCTTTCCATTCAGATGATAGATCCATTCCCAGGTATGAGACTCACACAAATTGCATGTGTATAAATCCCACATGGATTTGATAAAATATTTAATAATTCATTTAGGTCGTATAGTATTTTCCTTATTATTATTCTCGCAGTCACATTCTTTTATTCTCTCCACTTTCTCTATGTTGTCTCTCCTAATTCTCACTCTCTTGTTCATCGCGTCTCTCTGTATCGCCATTAGAGCATCACTGCCATCACCATCTCGCACAGGTATTGTTTATTTTCCCCGAACTGTTCATCCTCTCTCTCTCTCTCTCTCCTTTGCCCCCAATTTATTAGGGTTTATTTTCGTACGTAACTTCTCAATTGTTCAGTGGAAGAATAATCGATTGGGCAAAGTCACCATTTCTCTCTGTCTCGCCGTTGAAGCAACTTTGTCTTCCTCTGTGTCTGCATCGCCATCACCATCTCTTTCAAGTATTTCCTCTCTCTCTCTCTCTCTCATTTGCCCCCAATTTATTAGGGTTTATTTTCGTATGTAACTTCTCAATTGTTCAGTGGAAGAATAATAGATTGGGCAAAGTCACCGCCTCTCTTTGTCTTGCTGTTGAAGCAACATTGTCTTCCTTTGTGTCTGCATTGCCATCACCATCTCTTTCAAGTATTTCCCCTCTCTCTCTCTCACCCTCTTCCTTTAATTCACCATTGAAATGATTGTAGCACCATTTGAATTATCTAATTTTGATTCTAGATTTGTAATTTGAACCAATTTGAAAATGGACTCTATGTTGAAGGTAGCAAGCATCGATTTGGATCATATAGATTGATTTTGTTTGTCTCATATGTTGGAATTCCTTTTTTGTTCGAAAGTTTTTATGTGTTTCGATTCATTTAACTTATCTAGTTTTCATCTATTTGTTCATTTTAAAAGTAGTTTTTAGCTCCTTGGATCCAATTTGTGTGTTTTGCACACCAGATGTTTGTTATTATATCAATTTGAATTAGAGTTGGAACTTGTCTATTGATTACTATTGATGATTGAACTTGTCTATTCATGATTGCTTGGGTGTTTTTTCATTTGTTTCCTTATCTTGTATCCATGATTGGGGGCTGTTAGGCTTTTGTGTCTATGAGTTTTAAGTAAAAAGTTCTATATATAATTCTACAAAAATTGTAATATTTTGCATGAAATATATATATATATATATATATATATTCTCTCTCTCTCTCTCTCTCTCTCTCGGTTTTTTCTTTTGAAAATGGAAAAAATTCAGGCGTCTAGAAGAGTATAATGGAGTTAGAATGCAAGGAATTCAATGTCAAAGATATTGGAAGGAATAATAATTTGTTTTAATAGTGGGAAATGGGCATATATTGCTTGGGAACGGTCACTAAACTTCATATATCCAAGGCTATATACGATCTCAAACGTGAAGGATGAGTTTAGGTTTTAAGGTTTAGGGTTTAGGATTTTAAGGTTGGGAGTTGGGGGTTTAGGAGTTTAGGGGTTTAGAGGTTGGGATTTAGGGTTTAGGGTTTATTAGGGTTTGGGATTTAGGGTTTGTGGTTATGGGTTTTGGTGTTTAGGGGTTTGGGGTTGTTTAGGGTTTAGGGGTAGGTGTTTTAGGGTTCGAGGGTTTTGGGTTTTTGGGTTTTGGGTTTGGTGTTTGGGTTGAGTTTTGGGGATTTGGGATTTGGGTTTAGGGTTTAGGGTTTAGGATTTGGGATTCGGGGTTTGGGGGTTTAGTGGGTGTTTGTGAAATGTGTTTTTATATAATTTTTTTTAGTTGAAGGATATTATTGGATAAAATTTTTTTGGTGTTTGGGAAGATAGTTGGGTTTTTTTGTGGTTGGATGTGATGTTTGTAAGAGAAAAAGTGAAATGATTATGGGGTTAGATGCGATACTTTGTTTGGATTTGTTTTTTTTAGTTTTGCAAAAGTTGATCTTTTAGTGTAAAAAATCAAAAAAACACCCAACATACAAAGGTCCCGTTTGTTATCCTCTATCACAGTCCACTCCGGACTGTGATAGATGAATAGTGAACAAAGCTTCCGTTTGTTTTGATTTTGGAACTCCAGATTAGTAGTTCGAAGGGACTATGAGGGGCCTTGCTAAAGGGTATTAGTAATCCGGAGTGAGAGATGATATTAGCAACTAGTCCGTTCGGATTGGGTGTTACGGGACGTCTGCCCGGAAGTCCGGCCGGTCAACCAGTCAACGCAATTTATTTTTTATTTTTTATTTTTTACTTCATAGGCATTTTTTTTAAAAACATTAATGTTTAATGTTTTTGTATTTTTTGTTAAGTAAAAATCATAATTTTATTTGTTTTATTATTTTATATAAAAAATAATTTAACAATCCCCTCACTAACAAAACAAACACAATTTTGCTAATCCCCTCACTATGAAAACACACAATTTTACTAATCCCTTCACTATCAATTCTCTCACTAACAATCCCTTCAATAGTAATCCCCTCACTATCAATCCCTTCCATTTTATATCTGAAAACAAACGGGGCCAAACTTCCCAAACACCACCTTAGGATTAGGGTTTGAGGATTGGGGTTTATAGTTTATAGTTTGGGGTTTTGGATTTTGGATTTAAGGGTTTTGAAACCCTAAACACCAAACTCCAAACCATAACCCCTAAACCATAACCGCTAACCCCTAAAGCCCTAAACCCTAAAACCCTAATCCCTAATCCCCAACTTCTAGCTCCTAATCCCTAACCCTAAATCCTAATCCCCAACCTCTAGCTCCTAATCCCTAACCTTAAATCCTAACTCCTAAACCCTAAACCCCCGACCCAAAACCCCTGAACCTCGACCCTAGACCCCCGACCCTAGACCCTAGACTTTAGACCTTAAACCCTAATAGACCTTAAATTCTAATAGACCCTAGACTCTAAACCCTAATAGACCATTAACCCTATCCTAGACCCCAGACCCAAAACCCCAAACCCCAACCTTGAGCCCCAAACCCTAATAGACCTTAGACCCTAAGCCCTAATAGTTCCTAGACCCTAAACTCTAACAGACCCTAGTAGACCCTAGGCCCGAGACCCCAACCCCCAAAACCCAACCCTAACCCCAACCCCAACACCAAAATAGTGATCCCTCTAAAAACCCTTTAAACCCCCTAAAAACTCCTAAACCCAAAACCCAAAACCCTAAATTCTAAGCCCAAATACCCTAAAACCTTTAAAACCCCAAAATCTAAGCCTCAAAACCTAAACCTCAAACCCCAAACCTCAAACCCTAAATCCAAACCCAAACCCAAACCCAAACCCGACACTCGAAACCAAATCCAATAAAACCCTAAAACCCCAACTCCTAAACGCCTAAACCGTAACCTCTAAACTCTAATCCCTGAATCCTGAACCCTGAACCCTAAACCCTAACCTCTAAAATCCTAACCCCTAACCGCCAACCCCTAACCCCTAACCTTAACCCATAACCCTAACTCGTAACCCTAACCGCTAAACCATAAACCCTAAAAAACTCTAAACCCTCAACCCAAAAACCAAAAACCCTAAATCCCAAACCCTAAAACCCCGAACCCCGAAATCCCGAAACCCTTAAACCCTAACCCTAAACCATAAATCCTGTACCAAAAAATCCTAAATCCCAAACCCTACACCCTAAATACTAAACCCCAAAACCCTAAACCCTAAATCCAAAACCCGAAAACCTAAACCAAAAAACCCTAAACCCTAAACCTTTAACTCAAAATTCTAAACCCTAAATCCTAAATCCTAACAAACCTTAAACCCAAAACCCAAAAACCCCAATACCCCAAAGCCCAAAGCCCGAACCCTAAATCTCAAACCCTAAACCCTAAAAGCTAAACCCCGAACCACGAACCCCGAAATCCCGAAAGTCAAAAACCCCAAATCCTAAATCTTAAACCCCTAACTCCAAAACGTAACCCCAAATCCTAAACCCTACCCTAACGCCCTAAACCCTACCCTAAATCCTAAATCCTAACCCCCAAACCCCAAACCTTCAAACTCCCAACCCCAACCTCCAAACCCTAAACCCCAACCCTCGACCTTAGACCCTAGACCCTAGACCCTAAACCCTAGACCCTAAACCCTAAACCCAAAAACCCAACCCCTCAACCCCTAACCTCCATCCCTAAACCGAACACCTAAATCCCAAAACCCCAAAACCCCAAACCCCTAAAACCCTAAACTAAACCCCTAATACCCTAAACTAAACCCATAAACCCCCTAGCCCCAACCCCAAACCCCCAAACCCTAAACCCTTAGGGTTTAGGGTTTGATGATAATGATGATGTGCGAATGCTCTTGAGTAAGATGTTAAGTACGGCAACTGCGTCAAGAGTGAACACGATATTCATATCATTGGGTTGCAGAAGTCGGAAGAAATTATTGGGATTAGCATCGGCTCGCAGCAATGCAGCAAAGAGGTCTTCCTAGCCACGTACTAGTACCAACATCTAATCAGCGGGTGGCGAAGAACTGCTGCTGCCGAATATGACAGCGAGAAGGTCAGGGATATGAGTGAATGTAATCGATTCGCAGATCATTTGAATCACGATGATCAGTGACCTTATGCGATTTGTGTAGGAGATCGTGGAGGTAGCCAGATCATTTACGACATTAGTGAGTGTGGTCCGACCAAGGGCTATTTTATTCATACCTTGTCTGGAAACACGTTCTAGGGCATTTTAGCCGCCATCGTAATCCAAGAAAGTGGATCTGGGAATTAGATGTGGAGAAGTAGGAGAAGTACGTCCAAACTCCAACCATTGCTTAGAATTCTCCAATTGGTAGGCGTCTAAGTAGAGGTTGTCCCATCGAATCCTAAGCCTGATCCAGTGATTGTTGGTTCGCACTATGATGTTGAACCATCGAGTGGGTGGATTTTGTTGAGCAGGAAGTACAGAAATATTGTGTGAAAAGGTCTCTGCCAATTTAACGCACAAGTCCTTAATGAAGTCCCTGTAAGCTCCACTACCTCTTTCAACGTTGAACTCCTTGGTGCATTCCGCCATTAACAATAATAATAAATCAATAACTAAAATAATAATAATAATTAAAAACTAAATTAATAATAATTAAATAATATTAATAAATAATTTTCATTTTTCTCATCTCAGGTATTATTGTCAAATCTTGAATCGAATCGTGAATCGTTTTGCTAAAATAATGAATTGTGAATCGTATGATTCACTTTATTTACGCTCGACAGCTAGTGTTAA